CTCTGGCTGCTGATCTACTGGAAGCAAACAGATCAGCACGCAACAAGGGGAATTGGGTTCCTGAAGGGGCATTGGCACTTGGAACCATCCTGAAGAAGTGGCCATTCACATTTGAAACTCTCGGGCGCTGCTTCTCAGCCATTCTCAACAGTATCACAAGGCTGTACAGAAACATTTTTCTCTCTTCTCTATGACTGTCTGCATTACACCATAGCAGCCAGGCTTATGGCATCTTCCATCGCCTCCGGGTCACCCACCAAACCGAGGGCCAGCACACCCAAAGAACTGTTTGGTTAGTGGCATTCAGAAGGGCGGTGCAGAGTGCTGGGAAGCAGCACCCACGGGGCCAGGTGTGGGAGATACAGCCTGAGGAACCACCACCTATGGTTTGGCTTGCAGATTTAGCCACAGCGTTTGAAATGAAAGCAGCTGAACAGGAGGTGTTTAATTGCTACACCTAGCAACATGTTTAAAAGCTTAAAGCAACTGTATCCTGAACTACCGCTGGAAGAGTAGGACCAGCTGTGAGTCAGCACCTCATTCAAAAAAAAAACCTAGGTTTAACAAGTTGTCTTTTTTTTTTTTCCCCCTCCCAAAAGGTGCGTATCGCCTAAGCAGGACGTGCAGAATACTGACGGACATGGCATCTTCGGGTCTGCAACAATTAAAAGTAGTAACAGAATTTCAAAGGAATGCCCACAAATGCAATCTCTCAAATATTTAAGAGATCTATGGAGCATTATTCTATTAAAGCAAAAGCCTTAAACATCTCTGTGGATTAATACTGTAACCACTGACATTGCAGTGGCACTCAGGTAAGCAGAAGCGTTTCAGCTGTTCAGGTTTGATGGTGGAAAAAGCAAATGGCTTCAGTTTTTTAGCTTCTCAATGCATTTACTACAAGCAACACTTTGTAGTTCCAGGAAAACCAACATCACAATTACTTCCCTGCCTTTTGATTGTTATTTTAAAAGGCAAAGTAAGCACTTGATTCTTTGTATTTCAGATTGAGCAGTCTCATTCTGTCCAAGTAATACATTTTTTCTACAGAAAGTTCTGCCTTGATGAGTGCTGGCTCAGCGTTTTTTGACATTGACTTTGCAGCAAAACTCCACACAGACTTTTAACTACATGCAGAACCGTGCACCTGAAGAAAACCACCTGGGGAAGGAGGAACCAGAGGCTAACAATGCCTCCCCTAGTCTACAAAGCCTGAGTGATTGGTACATAAACTAAGGACAAGCCCAACAACACCCCAAGGGCTGTCTTTGCACTGAATAAAAACCATTGTGCAGACAGGCAGCGAATGTAAACACCTGACCACACACTAAAACCCTCATCTCCTAACAGAATACACCATAACAGGTTCTCAAACAACGTGCCAACAACACCAGCATCCTCAGAAGTAAGAATAGGAACTCCCATCTGGACAGTGCCATCTGGAGCAATGGGAATCATCTCCAATTTTCTCACCACGTTAACACTAATAAATCCCACAGCACTTTACAAGGAAGAAAAGCACCTCTCCTGCTTGTATGGGGGTAGATCAACAGCAGGCTCTTTCTCTGAGAGAAGTGCTCCAGTTTTGCCTGCTTTAACCATCTGTCATTTATTTGAAATAAGAGCCCAGAATGGCTTGATAAGAGTCCCTGAAAAGGACTTGGGGAGATGAAGTTTTCCATTTGACCTTCAAAAGCTTCTGACATTACCTGAGCTGAGGGCTGGGGCTGTTCTAATAGGGGTGAAGCTCAGTGCTCCCACAGCCTCACTGAGGTGTGGGGAACACCAAACACTTCTACCTCTGCTGCTGCATACCCTGCAAGTGCTGCCACAGCTGAGATGTGGGAAATCAGCAAAAGATATCAAACTGAAACTGCTCGTGAGCAGACGTTTGAGAAAGATAAAATCAAAACCAGCCATTCAGCACATCTGCTCTGCAAAGCAAAGCATGAGAGCACAGCTCCTTAGCTAGCAGAGGCAGCTTCATAAACCATCGTCAGAAGTGTGACTCGGCCCGGCCCTACAAAGCACTGGTGTGAACCTGGCTGCCACGCTTGCACAGTACGCCCTTAGGTATGGAGTCTAGGCAACAGGACTCTCAATTTTAAGGGAGGCACCCCACAAACGTGGGGGCACCTGCCTTGGCTCTTAGCCCCAGGGTAGAGGCCTCACAGCAAAACAGTTGCCTTAAGTTAACCAGTTACATTCCAAAGCTGAATTAAAAGGAGATGGTGCTTTGAGAAGAAATTCAAAAAGGGCACCAGAAATATCAGAAAATATCAGAGGTCAGGAAATGCTGAGGAAAATGCCAAGGACGTCGCAGACAGTTCTTAGAACAGGGAAGAGGGACAAACTACATTGAGAGCCTGGTGTGGGTGAGTAAATACTGGGATAACTCACAGTTAGGCAAAATATACTCCTAGTTACATTATGGCAACTTACCACGTGTCCTAAATGCACCATAGTGCACTAGGCAACCTTCAAGTAGTTCAGGAGAACTACATCATGAATCCGTAATTATCACGAAGCACACAGCATTGGTTTGTGCTGAACTGATATCATCAACTTACAGTGCTGACTGCTTATTTTGCAGACACATAGAATACCTATTTCATTCAATGTAACAGTGAATTTGCAGTTGGCCAATAAAGCAAAAAATAGAAACCAGAAGTAAATTATTCTTTCCCAATGAATTAAGAACCAGGTTGCAAGAAGCTGATGCCATCATTAATTATGATTTAAATTTGGGGGTAACCTAGCACTACCTATAATGAACACATGCTAATAAAACTCTTCATGTGGCCACTGAAGCAAACCAAACTGGGAAGAGGAGTAGTAAAGGAGCAAATACAACTAAATGCAACTGTTTGTTTTTGGACAGCAAAATCAGCACCGAGTGATGATGATGACAGCCTGAAATCCATTTGCTTTGGAATCAGAAAGGACAATGACCAGAAACCTCTGCATAACTCACTAACTACAGAAGATAATTCATTTATTTAGTCAGTTAAAGTTACTAACATTTGATAACGGTTTTTTGCATATGTACCAAGCACATTCAGCATAACTTTACAGAACTTGTAACTTCAAAGTGTTGCATTTCGTCACTGTCAAAATGCAGTTTGACACAAATCAAGGGGGGAAGGGGGAAAAGAGGAAACAAATACCAGTCAGCATTTCTACCATCATAATGTAAAAAATTAGAAATCTACATAACTGTAACAAGCTGTATGGTAGTTTAAATGTGAGTACAGTGCATTTTTACAGATTGTCAGAAGGAAGAATAAAATATGCCTAAAAGCTGTATCTAGCTGCAAAATAACACTTTAAAGGTTACAAACTGAAACGACCTTTCAACAGAAATCGTTACACACCTACCACTTACGATAACCCATAACTGACTCTTCCACCTATATTGACTAAAATCAGCAATGTTATATAAACTCAATATCCACTCTTGAAACAAAGAAACTGCAAAGTCTCAGTATAACACAAACTGTGAAATATTTTAAGACTGAATTTAAAAGTATTTCATACTGAAGAAAAAGGCAGGAAGACGCATGCTGCTTTAGAATTCTCGTTTAGCCTGTGTACTTCTCAGGCAAATGGGTAAAAAAGCAATATTTGGAAATCCTACACAAGTGTATTAATATTCCTATTAGAAGCCCAAAGAATTAAGCCATGAACTCTGCAGACTTGCATATACAACAAATTCAGAGACATTTCTCAAAGGAGCAGGCAAGAGAAGCAAGCTGAGCTCTGAAACCATCATTAACCTGAGCAAGGGAACCCCACACAACATCTTTTGTTTTTTTCCCCTACAGCCACAGAGACTGAACTGCACCCAAATCTGGTTAGAAAAAATATTAAGATAAAGCAGTTACACCTAAAAAGGTAAGTTAGCTTCACTTTAACCATCCCACTGTTTACTTACAATTAAATGTTCTACAATGATTCCATTCGTGATAGAAACAGAGTTTGAGTCTACATGAAAACAAATGGTTTTAATCACGATTTGTAAGTCTCTGTCAAAAAGAAAATCAAGAGTAGATTAAAAGGTCCTTTTTTTTTCTTTTCCCCTCAGGATATCTATGAAGGTTTCCTGGAATAGCCGTTGTTAAGGAATCTTATCATCTCATGTAGGACTGTGACAGCAGCACGTGACGTGATTATTCTAGTCAAAACTTCGTAATAGGAATTCTAAAACAAGGTTGGCCACTGACCTATGAAGAGGCAAAGCTTAAGGCCAAACAGCCCCGTGAGTCACAACCCAAATAAAAGAACGCATGTAGACAAAAGCAAGTGAAGAGAGGAATATCAACTGGAAGGAGAACGGAAAAAGGCAACATCCTTTTCTTCCAATTTCTCCATCCCTCACTTTTGCTGACCTGAGGGCATTCTCCCAGCAGCAGATGACACGACCCATTTTAGAATTAAACGAGAAACAAAGCCTCCTGATTTAAAAGTATACAGCTTAGAATCTGGATTAAAATATTACACTTTAAAGACACAGAACTGTGGAAGTATTTTTCAGGCCACAGCCTGAAGAGTAATTCTACCTGGACCATCCCACCACTTGTTACAGCACAGCCCCATATTAAGATCTGAAATCAAAGCAAAGGCTGACATTGTCAACACACCAGGTATTTTCCAATACATCTGCAGAGGCCGCTTGGCCCTGTGAGCAGCAGCCATACCCAGGGAGCACGGCTGCTATCCGTGTGGCTTACAAGTACCCACAGCACATGACTTTCACAGTCCAAAAAAGTCAGTTCCTTTCTGACTGAAAATAAATAATATTACACTTCACCAAAAAAATTAAAGAGAATCAAAGCCTGACATTTGTCTGGCATTGTGATTACAGAGTAGCAGTGGGGTAATATCAATCAATCTATCCCCAAAAGAACAACTTACAGTTAAATACATCATGAACTGAGAGGTTAACATATAAAAAGTTCAGAAATATCATACCGCTTCAAAAGAGTCACAGCCTATCATTATAAAGGAAGAATATAAAACTATTTTATTGACCACTGTTCACCAGTATTTACAATAAAGTAAACAATATACAGTCTGATAACATTCAAATTACTACAAAGTTAATTTTCACCTGGTCTTCTTGGGATCGTGTGACCCCAAATACTAAAAAGAATGAGTCTACAGGTGTAAAGGGCTAGGTTTGGGTAAAGAAGAAACATGCACATCAACTGTATAGAAGACTACAAAACATCTGTGAGCTTGTTTAGACATTCGTTAAGATTCAATAATAACCATGGAAGTTTATGAATGTTTTATAAAAGCTTTCACCTAATATGGAGGAAGTAGTAGTATCAAATGCTCTCCTGTGATAAATGAAATGAGTTGCAGAAAGCTTTTATTTACTTGCTGTTGATGCAAAACACACTACTTCAAAAAAATATCAAATTTGAATTTTTTAGAATGTATGCTTCTCACATTGCTAATAAATCAAATTTCAGGTTTTAATATTCATATATATATAAAAAAAGTGATGCAAACAATTATTGTGCTTCATCTTCTGGGCATGAATGCCAAGTTAGTCGTTCTTCATAAAAAGCAATTACGATCTGAGGACACTTCACGTTTGCTTCTTTGGCCAGCACCAGATCTGCCTCATCTGAGTCTTTCCTGATGGGAAAGGAAGGGAGATTAAAATTAAAAAAAAAAGCATAATTACTAATTCTCTTAATTAACTTATATTCATAGCAGGATTCTTCAAATTATTTTAACATCAAAATGGGTTTCAGGAAGAATACGTTTTCATAAAAATGCATCACCTCTTGATATAACATTATGAAAAACGTCAGCTAGAAATCAGTTTTCAGTATACTTTTCACTTCAGCTACAAGGAATTTCTTTGCTAGCTTTCACAGCAAATAAGATTTCACAGCTGATACCTTCCTTCACAAGTTTCTTTTTCTATTCCAGGGGAAAACACTGTTTAAGAGAAATTATTCCTACAGTTACCAAATGCAGTATATAATGAAGTAAGTAAAATTACACTAATTTTACTTTAAAGCATAACTGGAACTTCAAAGTGAGACTTGTGGTATTCACATCCCAATTGCATTAGAAGTTTATGCAAGTAACCGCAATTTCTGAGCCTGTCTTGGAGTAACAAAAAAAAAAATAAATAATAATTCCAATCTAACATGCTTTAGGCTCCTTTTTCAAGAGTATGCTGATTGTACAAGTCAGCTCTATGGCTACATATTCATATCTATCTTTGTTGACTGCAATCAATTACGAAAAAACGAATCCACTACAAACAAACTAAAAAGAAAATGCTCCTTTCTTGTTTTCCTTTGTGTTTTATTCTGCCAGTTATCACTACAGAAATTCAAGTAGTCATAACCCACATTTTCAAACTTCTCTCAGTTCCACGTATTAAAGGGAATTTGAAGTCAGAATGCAGACCACCTTTCCAAAGCACTGATCTTCAAGAGTCTAAGCACACTGCATGACAAACCAATTCTCTGGAGACTGCTCAGTTTGACACTACTAAAGAAACTAGAAAGCTTTCTAAAAGGTTGTTGGAAACTATAATTCTTATCCCAGCACCACAGAAAACCAAACTCCAAGCAAATGTTAATTCAACCCTTATATTCTCAATGCTGGATTTAAAAAAAAAAAAATTACCCTGCTTCTCTACTGCAAAGACAAGATGTCTTCTGCTAACACTGTAGCTAATAGAACTGTTTTCCTCCTGTCCTCCAAATAATACTAACTCCCCAAAGCACTTTTCCCTGTTACAGGCCCATAATGACAAACTTCTTCATATCGTTTGTTCTTCATCACAACTTCAGCTTCCTCCACTAGTTGCTTCCAACTCTCTGTCCACCTGATTGCACACAAAACAGCAGACACCAAGTTTGGTTAAGAGGTTGGCTGCCTAGCAGCTAGAATCTGCTTATGTAAAACATTTAAAAGCAGAGTTCTACCTGAAATTTCCCTAGCAAGAATGCTACTCACATGCAAAGGCCAGTTCTAAATTCCACTTCTATGATATTGAATCAAGAGAATCTAAAGTCATTTTGGTTTTGGAAGAAAGGGGGACTAAGTACTAAGTAATTGCACAGGTTTTGCTTCTGCAAGAACACAGGGTTAATAAATAAGCAGACCGCCAGCTTCTTTCTGTTTGCTGAAAAGAAGTTCTCTCATGAGCTAAGTGCAAACTACCAGCCCTCCCTCAACATGGCTCAGAACTGTGGATAAGACTTACCATTTCATGAGGAACATAAGCTCTCCGCTGCTATCCGTAGCCCCAATTATCCTCTCAGGATCAAGACCCCTTGCAAACCCTCTCGGTTTATCAACCTATCAAGTAAGTTAAAAGATCATTATCTATCATCATCTAACTACCCTTTTATTCTGGCATTAGAGCTAGATATACACATTAATGTGTGTGTGTGAATCAGAACAACAAAATATAGCATTACATAATGATAAAAGCTATCGCTACATATAAAGTTGTCTGAAGATGATATAAATGTTACATTTTTTTTGACTGACCTTCAGACCTTGTCATTCAGATGCAGAGTAACAATGAAGGACTTTTACATTAATGGCTCTAGCCATTCTTTCTGAAAACTCAGTAGATGAATCAAGTGGTCTCAAATCTTTATAGTAGATAAACAAGCACGGCTAATGAAACAAACTGAACAGGCAAAACAAAAAAACACACTCCTGGGAGCAGGCAAAACATGTTCTTTTCAGCAAAACAACAAACCTGGGCACTTAGGTTGGCTTAAGCCAACTGTGAAACTGCACCCATAGGGCACACCTCAACTCTTCTTGGCTCACTGAAATCACATCTGTGGTCAACAACAGGACTGCTTGCCTCTAGTTTCACAATACCTTTGTGAGACAGTGACTGCTACCATATCAGGTGAAGCCATAAAATTAACTTCACTCAGAAACTAAAATGCTATTCACAGTATTTACCAATATTGCTTCTGATGCCTTCCAACGTCACCTAGTAATTGACAGCACACATCCAGCAGCTGTCTTCAGTAAACCACTGACTGACAAACAGCTCTGATTTATATTGTTAGTTTGAAAGTTTAGAGAGAAAAATGTACTGCTGAACATACTGTGTTAAGCGCATTATTTTGCTCTTATTAGCACTAAACTTATCATTTTGTTGGCTCATTTAAATTGGAGCTGAAACCCAAATATCCATGAAATAGCAGGTTTTCTTCAGTCACCCTCTCTACACCTTTCCTACCACCATGTCTAGTCCTAATTTAAGCAAGTGCTTGGTCTTCCCATTTTGCTATCTTCCCACTCACCTATTTAAAAATCATAGCTCATACAAAAGCCAGAACAGAACTTCTGCTCGTTCCATTCACGACCATTTTACTCTAACACAAACTGACCACGTTGTTCATTAGTAACTCTCAACCAGTCTTACTTTTGATTATTCAGCAAGAATCACAGAACATTGGGGCTTCTGGTCATAAAAAGTAAAATCAACCACCTTTTACCCGCCATTCAGGCGGTCTCATTAATCGCTATAAAACATCACACTTTCCAAACCACAGTTCCAGTTCTGTGATTCTTAGTTTTAAGACTATGGTTGTTCTAGTTCTCCAAGTCACAACAGAATTTTTGGGGTAGAGGGTTGGAGAGGTAGAAAGAAACAGAGGAGAAACAAAGTTTAGCACATGAACATATACTTACAGAATCACGTTTTTTCTTTGATTTACTATCATCAGATTCGCTATCTGACAGTGATTTTCTTTTCGCACCATCTGTTTTTTCTTTACCAGCTTTCTGAGAGTTCAGAAAAGCTTCAATTAGCTCTGGACAATCTAAGTTTTCTTCAGGCTCCCACGTGTTGTCAGCACTGAAACATACATACATTTATGTAAAACTAGGAAAAGAAGAGAAGCGTACAACTAGCTACACGGCTCACCCTAAGCAAGTCATTCCTTTCCTCAATAAATAAGGTATCTTAAACTCAGGATGCTTCTCTAACCATCTGCCATAGCCTTTGTGCACTACATTTGATGACTGACTCTATGCTATGCTGAAGAATGCTGCTGAATTGTTCTTACATTTGAGATACAGAGTAAGCAGCTCTATTAACTCCTAAGATGCTGGTGGAAGTGACAACATGCAACCCTCATCCTACCTGTACATTTAAACTTAATTCCTGGTTCCCCGAAAGGCTGACCATGCAAACAAGCTGTTTGGTAAGAGCATAAACTAAGACTTCAGGAGAACAGAACATACACAATCCCCACTAGTAATGACATAAATGTATGTACCTAAGCTTCTATGTACCAGAAATGCTCTCAAAAGTATCATCTGAGCACTGAACTCTTTCTCACTCCTCCAGCTGTAGAGCTTTTGGAGCTGGTCCAGAGGAGGCCCATGAAAATTATCAAAGGGGTGCAGCACCTCCCCTATGAAAACAGATTGAGGGAGCTGAGCTTGTTCAGCCTGGAGAAGAGAAGGCTCAGGGAAGACCTGATAGCAGCCTTCCAATACTTAAAGGGAACTTAGAAACAGGAGGGAAATCAACTTTTTACAGGGGTAGAAAGTGATAGGAGAAGGGGGAACAGTTTTAATCTAAGAGGGGAGATTTAGATTACATGTCAGGGGAAACTTTTCACTGAGAGACAGGTGATACACTGGCACAGTTGCCCAGCTGTGGATGCTCCATCCCTGGAGGCATTCAAGGCCAGGTTGGATGGGGCCCTGGGCAACCTAAGCTTATGGGCAGCAGCCTGCCCATGGCAGGGGACTGAAACTGAGTGGGCCCTGAAGTCCCTTCCAACCCAAACCATGCTAATAGGCTGTAATTATAGAAAAAACAAAGGCTCCATGTCCGGAGCTGGGTATTGCAATTGTTCCAGAGAGTATGTATTTTGGTAAATAACATTTTACGCTGTCCATGAATGTGCCCTCCAACAATTAAGCACCTCATCGGAAGTCCTCAGGCACTAATATATTGCCACAGCACTACTGCACAAACAGGATGCTTACCCGTTATTTTCAATTACCAAAACTTTAAGGTCCTAGAATGCAGAAGGTTGCTTTGGGAGATATGTACACGTAACTACTAATGATAAAATGCTAGACTTTAACATCTAATGCATCCCCTTTTCTCGGCTGATGGAAGCACTGTTGTGCTTTCAAAAGACCCAGGATAGAGACTGAAAAATACCTTTTCAGTATGTCTAATGAAAGCAATCATGCCACAGAATTCCTTTTGTAAATTTACCTATTTCAAGAGCATCTGAAAAAAGCAAACACCTCCCCCCTCCCCCCAAAAAACCAAAACAAATTCACAGCTTCAAAGCTGCCTGTTTAAAGCCCTGCAAACTTTATTTCTCAGAAATAACATTCAATCCCCTGCATATGAAAGTATACCTATTTTATGACAACTGTCAGCCTAGCATACCTTGACTGACATTGACACAAGCTAGATCAAAGAGCAGTGGCAAAAGAACAATCACTGAGGGCTTTGTATAAGATTTTGGAACGTGACCAAGCACAAACCCTAAGCTACCAGTCTTCTATTTTACTGTCATACTTGACTGCTCCACCTGAATAGACATTTATGCTGTCCTTCCCTTTCAGCTCTTTAAAGCGTATCCCCACCATCCAATCCCCCATCCACACAGTTATTTCAAATAAATGGTTAATATTTAGCATTGTACCAGAAAAAATAATGGTAATGCCTTACTCTGTAAATCCTTTCCACTTCAAGTAGTATTCCACCTTTCCATTCACAACACGTCTGTCCAGGACTTTCTCCACAACAAATTCTTCAGGCTCTGCCTCTTCAACTTTTTTACCTTTGCCATTTTGTTTCTTTCCCATTTTGTGCTACAAAAGAAATTCAGAATGCCATTATTCATTCTTTTGCTTTACATCGTTACTTCACTGGCCAAATCCAACTTTGCTCAGTAAACAGTAAGGAATCATGTATTTATTCACACTAGAGCCAGAAGCTCGGACTTGTTTCACGTTAGTGCATGAGGTCAGGTAACCTGAGCAAGACATGGTAATACTTTGGGTTGGTTTTGGGTTTTTTGTTTTTTTTTGTTTTTTTTTCCAGCCACTTAATAAGATACCCAACATAGAACACCAGTTTTTATAAAGGTGAAATATCTTTGTCCGTACACTCAGTGCCTCCACTCCCCTTATAAATTTAATTCTCAGAGTGCTACATGCTCAAAATTTTATCAAGCTTCTATAAGTTAACTCCGTGCCTGTGAAAAGGCGGAGGGCAAGAAACAGCATGAGGCAGAAGTAAAGAAAAGTATTAAGGGAAAATGCATCAAACAGAAAAGGGTGCTACTAAAAAAAAAAAAATAAAAAAGTTACTAGCATTTCCAAAACAAAAAAAGAAAAAGAAAAAGCTGAAGGGAGCAAAATGTACAATGTAGCGCTACCATAACCAAAATATTCAATAATAATCGACAATTATTGAACAGGATGCATGCCAGGAGCAGCAAACTACTGCAGGCCCTTCCCACTATCAGCCACGCACCGATGCAACTAACATTCGAAGGGATGTCAGAAAGGTGCAAATGTTCAGACAGCTACACTTAAGGTACACTTAACATGTAATTAAAATTTTGCTAATTTAAAAAACTCAAGTGTTTCAAGTTTACATTTGATATACTTTAAATAATATTCTTCAAGTTCTTAAAATAAATATTACATCCACATCATCCTCAAGGCATTCCCAGTTTAATAAGGCACAATTCAATATTGGTAGAAGGACACGTTTCAGAATTTCCTTGTTTGCAATCTGGAAAAGGTCAGGACGTGTCTATAATCTTGTTGTATCCCATGTGTGTAGCACCAACAGACCAAAAGCAGTCTGATGGCCATTTTGGATAGCTCCTTATTGGAAAATTGTTAAAATGGCAGCCATAAGTTAACGGGAACAGTATTAATCTCTGAGAGCACACAGTCATGCAGCACCTTAAAGCAGACAAAGCTACTTCCTCGCTAATGCTCTTACGTGACAGACAGAGGCAAGCAGAAGTCATGGAGCACCTGCCTTTACTTTGTGGCACTTTTCTAGTCCTCTCTAGAATGAACGCGGGTTAGTTTGAGCACACTGCAAAGCAATTTTGAAACTGATTTTTAGATTTTGCAGAATTTTTCCTTGATGTGGTAAAAGGAAGGAAAGAAAGTGTCTGTCAGACGCAAAGAAAACTCTTCTTTTTGCAAAATGAAGAAGCTGACCTGCCTTTCCAAGCCTACTCTTTGCGTTCTTCCTTTTTTTTTTTGCATTAACTTGTCTTCCCCCAAACACCTTTACTCTCCTTAGCAACCCACGAATTGAAGGTGCAAACAGCAAAGATGAGGAAAAGGTTCAAATTCCCCCTTCAAACAGCAAGTTTCCATATATGATTAAATGTTGTGCGACACTTGTTTTGACTTGGGAATAGAAAAGAGATTATTTAAAACACAGCATGTATTTCCACTTTGATAATAACTACCTGCACATCCCAGGTGTATTTTGAACCCAGTACTCATGTCTGAGAAGTACCAACCACACTGGCTTTTTTTTTGCCTCCACAGGAAAGAAAAATAAAAGAATGCAGGACTGAAGGTAAATGAACATAAACATATGAAAACATCCACCTTGTCTATGAAGGCTGCTTACTGCAATAAATGAAAGTATTAAAAAGAGAAATGAGATGAGAAAAACGGGGGGAAAAAAAGAAATGAGGAGAAAAAAAGACAGACTCACTGTACCAGACTAACAACATCCTAATTACTGGTGTTGAGGCAAGTGGGCTACAAGTGGAACACCTCCATCAGTGCTCTCCACTGGACTAAAACCCTCCAGTTCACAGGAAGGCTGCCTTCTGATAATTGTTCTCAGCTTCTTTCATTCTCATCACCTAAATGTTTTGGACCTCTGCATCAAAGTAACTTTTCTTTAAAAGAAATGCAAACTCTTTAGGACTTCAGATAGCTACATAATCTTCCACAGAAAAAAATGAATATTACAGGATCTGATCCTTTATCTCAAAGGTCAGTAAGCAAATAACAAGTCAAGGGTGCGTTGCTTTTTGCTCTGAATATTAGAGGTTTCACTACATCTTCTGAATAATGCTACTTCCCAAACACTTCCTAAGCCTTTTTAACCTACTAAAATAATATTTGACAGCAGAGCCTGAAGAAATACTGAAGAATGGTAACTCCTGAGATTATACAAACCAATGTAAATCTCAGCCTGGAGGTGAATGTAGCAGCTGACCCAGAACGAAGGGCAGAAACATCCACCAGATCCCTGAAGCTCCCTTCTTTAAGGTTACCCGTTCTAAACCTTAACACGGGCATCTAAGCACTGGATGCTCATTTGTGGCTTCCTTCCTTCTGCATTCAGAAGTCACATCCAACAGACAGAGATGGTTTTCAATGGGTAATGGCTCTTTCTTGAGGGGCAACATTAGAACAGAGACGTGATGTTGCAATGGAGTGTTTCACGATACAAGAGATAACAAATTCAGAATTACAGTTCCAGAGCTACGCTACCCCCAGTATATCTAAGTTTTGCATTCAAATATGCAATGAAGCAGAATTAGTTACGGTTCCCATGGGAACCATAACTGATTTTCCTGACCTGTGCAGCAAAATTCTGAACATCATATCAAAAATACTGCAGTTGCAGACACTTTCCCCTCCGTGAGGCACTCCCTCCCTGGGCTGGTCACTGCTCCTCTTCCTCAAATTAGGGAAAAGTGGACAACCAATTACTAACAGAAAGTTCAGACATTCATCTTGATGAAATCTTTAGAATGGTTTGCCATCATATAATGTCAAACAAGCACTACACTTCGAAGCCAGGAGTTAATAAGAGTTTTTAATGTACCTCAATCTGGGTCAATTAGCAACCACTTTAGTAATTTAAGAATGGGCCTTTTGAGTGCATAACAAGTCCGTCGTTCTGCTATCCAAATGTCCAATTGTATCTATGCATCCTGCTTCAACCTCAGATGGATCTCATGCTATATTTCTTCAGTTCTTCCACACACACACATATATGTGTATATATATATTTATATATAGAGTAAGTAGTTGAATGGCAATTAAAATAATTTTTCCCGCAACCAACTGCCTTTAGAAGTTCATATTTTAACGTCAAGCAAAGCTTTACAGGGACTTGAGAACCATGAATGCATCATTAAAATAGATCAGGAGGGGTTGACATCTGATAATCTCTGCTCCTATGAAATTCAAAGAAACTGTTATTTGGTTAAAAAAAAGTAATAATAATTTCAAAGGGCATCTTAACTACACCACATCATTTCCCAGTAACGTTATTTTTCCTCTGTAAGGACCGCCTTCGCTCAATTTGTTCTTTTATTTTTTTCTGAATAGACTAGGAGAAATTAAACGAATACATGATTTTACTTATTTTTACATAAACGATGAATTACATGGTATCCTGAAAGGAGGCTAAAAAAATCCTCAGTGCTTTCTACAACAGGACAGACGAAATGATGCACAGTCCAGTCCTTTTTTTTTTTTTTTTTTTTTATTCCCCAACAAGTCTCTGTAGGAATGGCAGATTTGTTAAAGCCAAAGAGAATGTCCTTTCTAGTAGCCTTACTTTCTGGACCTGAAATTTTGGTCAGAAAAATGCTGGGGAGGGGAGATGTGGATGTATCTTTTAAATGGAGATGCCAAGTTATAAGTTTGAAGAAAAATATGTTGATTAAATCCTTACATACTTTAGGTGTGCGTGAACTTACCAATGTAGTTTTATTGGAGGCCATTTTTATTGCAGACTTGCAGAGCTTTTACTAGAAAAATGCATGACAATTAAAAGGAAGTTTACGTTACTCAAAGAAAGGCATCCCAATACAACATGGTCCTTGTTCCAACCCCCATGTATTCACGGCATAGAACATTTACAGAATGGATTAAATCCAGGACAAGAAGCAGCTTACTGCTTTGTCCGGCATAACCCAGTAACACACCTTTACCTAGCCAAGATAAATAGTGACAAAGTGGCAGATGAGGTTGAAAAAAGGTTTTCCCAAGGCCATCTAAGGCATGGAGACAATTGTAGGGAAAAGGGGGAGGACCATCAGGGATGCTTATTTCCTTAAACCCAACAGAACAGGAGCTCAGATTCCAGCAGTTAACTATGATACAGCTTTAGACGTATTAACTGTGGATCTGGCAGGGAGCAGCTACACATCTGCAGTGTAACAGAGCACCCACCGCTTTCAAAACTGCGAATATTTATTTTAATGCATAACGCTGCCCTCTGATTCTCAAGTTTGCACGAATTAAGGCCCTGCACCGACGTGAGCTCGGCTAAGTTGCACACGCTACGTTTATCCTAGGCAAGCGAGTCCAACACCATCCATCCCCTTCACCACCGCACCTCTCACACCGACCACCTCTGTAAGCACGTATCGTCCCCGCCCCGTTCCAACTACAAAACTTCGGATCGCACACAGGCCCGCGCACAGCTCGCACACGGCCTTGCAAGGCCCAACGGCTCGGCCCGCCGCCCAGCGCCCCGCTAGGGGAGGCCCGGCAGCCCCACGCCAGGCGGCGGCAAGGGCCGGGCGGGAGATCCTCGCGTCCCCGTCGGAAAGGAAGGAGAAAGGGGAAAGAAACCACAAGAACACTGCCGAGATACCCCCGCCCCGAGGAACGGACCCCGCGGGCCGCCGGGAGGGAAGAGGAGGAGGAGGAAGGGGGGGCAGCGCCTCGCCATGCCCGCGCCCCCCCGCCCCGCCACGTTTCCCCGCCGCGGAGGCCGCCCCGGGCGCTGGCGGGAGGCTTTGTCTGCCCGGCCCGGCCCCGCCGCCCGCCCTCCCTCTTCCCTTCCCTCCCGCCGTGCCCGCTCCTCCCGCCGCCGCCGCGCTAAGGGCTGTGGGGGGTCGGGCGCGCCCCGCGCTCCATCCCCGTGTCGGCGGGGAGCAAACAGGGGAGCGGGGAGCGCCGCCAAAGCGAGGAAATAAGAGGAGAAAGAAGGATACAGACTTCACTGCCGCTCGGCCGCGCCGCTCCCCCGTCTCCTCCCGGCTCTCGCCCTGCGCGCTCTGAGCGGCGGCGGCATCCGAGGGGCCGGGGGGGAGGGGAGGGGGCGGGGAGCGGCGCGGGGCGGGCCGGGCCGGGCGGGCGGCGCGGGGCGGGTTGGGCCGAGCCGAGCGCGCCGGCGGCTGACGGGGCAGAGCGCACGACGCCGCCTACGCGCCAGCCGCAACCTCCTCCCGTTGTCGCCGCCAGCACAGGAGGGGGCCAAGACGTCTGTCCCACGGGGGGCGAGCGCAGGACCGCGCCAGGCGTCCAAACGGAGGAAGATGCCTCGCGGCGACAGAGAGAGCGACTGGGTGAGGGCGGCCGTTGGGCCGCGGGCGGCCGCCGCCATCATGGCCGCCACCGCGAGGGCGGGAGAGGGCCCGACCAGGGGGCTGCGGCGGGCGGGAAAGGCCTTTATTGGCGGCGGCCGGAGATCCGTGTGGGGATGAGGGGAGAGAGAGAACGGGAGGCCCGGCGCAGTGTCGCTGCTGCGGAGCGGCAGCACTCACCCTTTCTCGCCGCGCGTGAGAGGAAAGGGGAGGGCGCGAGGGAGGTGAGCGCTGCGTGGCTGCCGGCGGAACGCGGCTGGCCGCAGCCGGGCCCGCCTTTCTCCACCGACTCGAACTCCAGGGTTATCGCTTCCCGCTTCCCGCCTCCCGCCCGGGCGGAGGGGGAGGGGGCCGCGGCGCTGCGTTGTGCCGTGCTCCCGCCCGCGGAGGGTGGTGGGGGTGCGGGGCCTCTGCGGCTAATTATAACCCCGCACTACGAGGTGCAGTCTTCGGCAATTTCCGGAGGGGGGGGGGTGGGAGAGAGAGAGAGAAGAGAAGAGAAGCAACGTTTTGCCAGCGACGCTCGGGCGACTTCGGATCCACTCGGGCACGTATTAGAGAGGTCTTCCGCTGTCGGAAATTGCCGAGTGGGTTGGGGAGTCGGTGAGCGCTGCGTCTTTTTTTTTCCGGAAATTGCCGAGCTTGAGCCGAGTGCCGATTTCGTCAGTTCGGCTGATTCCGGAAATCGCCGAAACGAGCCGAACGGGTTGCCATTTCTGTTTCGGCTATTTCCGGCGACTGCCGAAGCGGATAAGCTCGGCGAGAACGACTCCTTCGGCTCATTTCGGAGACGGCCATTAGTAACGGCGTCGATGACTTTTTATTAGGTGACAAAAACACGGAGGGGTATCGCACAGAACCGCTGCCTCTCAGGACTGATTTAGGCTCTAGATCCGAGCTATTTTTTAATTAAACTCCGGAGGCGCGGCCGGGTGGAGGAGGAGGGCGCTCGTAGTGCGCGGAGCCGAATTTCAAATTACGTAACAGCTGCGGCAGCCATTGCTGAGGGCCGTGCGCCGCGCCGGGCAGGGACCGCCACCATGAAGAACATGGTACGTGGGGGAGGGGAGGCTGCCAGGAGCTCCATTTTAAGGGGGTACCGCTCTCGGTTCCGCGCACGGAGAGCGTTTTTGCGGGTCTGAGGGTTACGCGAGGAGCGCGGCCGAGCTTAGCCAGCGCGGGCACGGGAGGTGCCGAGGCTGTTGGGCCGCTCTGCACGGGGGAGAGCGGCGACGGGGGAGGAAGGTTCTGGAAGCCGCGGTTGGGGCCGGGTTGCTGCTGGGGGGAGGCGGATGCTGCGGTTCAGGCGAGGGCGGGTTAGGTCTTTCGAGTTGGCTGTTGGAGCGGGTGCTCTCGGGGCGCGGCGATGGAGGTCGGCGGGAGCCCGGCCCGGGACGCGCCGTCGCCCTGTAGGCAGCAGCGGCGCCGCTGCCGGTAATGGCGGCGGAAGGGGGAGGGGGAAAATGGCGGCGCCGAGAGCGGCGGGGGAGGGGAGGCGGGAGGCCGTGCCTGCAAACTGACACCCCCCGTCCGGCTGCGTGGCGGTGCTGGGCAGGTGGCTTCCGCGCAGCCCGACGGCTCGCGTGGCGCCGGTGGGCGGTCGATCGGGATCGGTTTGCTGGCAGTCGTCCTCCCCGCCGCGCCGCGCTCCCTGGAGGCGGCGGCTCCGGGCGCCATTTTGCTCCCTGGCTGCGGCGCTGCTCTGCTGATCGCCACCACATGGCGGAGCCGCCGCTGCCTGCCCGCTCGCTACCTGGGCGGCGGGGCGGACCGGCCTCGGGCTGGGGCGCGGCGAGGCGCTGCGGCGGGCTGAAGGAAGCGGCAGCGGGCTTGGGATCCCGCCCGGCTCCTGACTGAAGATGCTGGAGGGCTGCTGAGATTCACACGTGGTCTGTCCCTATCTTAGAAAGTGTTTCGGAGTCATCTTAGGAGGTTTATCTTTTGGGTTGTGTATTGAGAGTGGGGGGAAGAGGCAGCGGGTCGTGTTTAGTGAAGGGTTTTTGTCGAATATCGGAAAAGGACCGTAGTTAAAATAGTTAATAATCGTGCACATTACTGCTGCAGAGTGAACATGCAGTTACCAGAGGCGGCTGGGCCCTGGCCGGGGCTGTGGTCAAGAGACTCACTACTAAGTAAGGCAGTGCCTGCGTGTGGAGTAGCACTTCGGATATGTTCATACATTTTTCATCTTGTAGTGGCAGTGACATTGCCATGTCCTGGCTGTGTATGTGCCTACCTGTTGCTTTGGCTAGGGCGCATACTGGTGTGGCAGTATGTGATCGATGAGTGTATGGTGATGTATGAACTTGCAGCTGTTCTCTTTATCAGTAATGTGTGGTGCATGTTTGCTCTCTGAAAAGCAAATGTGGTTGTTATGGTTGGTAGGTAAACTTCTTTAAGCTTCATTTTCAAATATGAGCTGAATGCTTAATGGAAAAATCAATACACCATTAAAATTTTACAAATTCCCAACTTATTATCCTAGTTCTGCTATTTGACGTGTACATATGCCAATTGATTATGTAGGGAAAAGTGTCTCCCATGGGCCTATGGAACCAGTAGGTACTGGTTAGTCTCAAAGCAATTGAACTGAAGCAGTTGGAAGAGAAGGGCATTTGTGCATTTTTAGCATTCATTGGCTAACATTTCTCTGCTAGCCTGCTCAGGCAAGAAATGGTAACACAGCTTTCAACAGGTAGCTATAATTCAAGTCTTGAATGCAGCATCCTTTCCCTTACTCTGTTCAAAAGATTATATGAAGGGAAGCTTTGCATAATGTGTGTTTGTTGTGTCAAAACTGTCCTGCCTAACTTTTCCCACCTGTACGTCACAGGGACAGCATTAGCTTTCTTTATATTTCTTAGAAGAAAAAACACTTTGAATCTACTTTAGGTGTAATGATTTTAAGTGACATTGAAGTAACAGGATACTTATTCGGAGGTGAAAAAGGAATACTCGACAGTTGTTGCATTTCTTCTTAGCTGATAATACAGCAATGCATTTTTAACAAAACTGATTCAGTATCATCTCCAGTAATGTCTTCTGTGTAGCATAGTTCTAGATCATACCTGCTTCCAGCAGCTTCAGAAAACGTGTGGATTGGCTGAATGCTCGTTATTAAAAAAAAAGAAAATTCCTTTTTAAAATGACGAGTATAATGTTGACGTAATGCTGAGTTCTCTTGGGAGAAAGCTTAGCAGGACATTTACCTCCTTCAGACAAGATTCTGAAATTCTGCATTTTGTTAAAGGGTCTTTTTTTTTTAATTAGCTATTTGGCATATGGGATAACAGTATGTATCATCCAGCCATGCTCCTGCTTATGGAGAAGAACATTTACAATACATTCGTAGTGTATTAAGTACTTGGGAGGTTGGAAGGTTGTTAGTTTCTGCATTATAATTATCACGTATAAAAAATGTGTAATATCTCCTTATTGGCCTTGAGCTTTTTTTTAACGACTTACTTGTTTGTCATAGCAGAAATTTGTGCTGAATGAGCTCAATGAAAATTTCTTTGAGAAGTGATTTAAGTCTTTCTGAAAATGTAGTTCATACACTGAAAGGGAAATGTGAGGAATTTTTTCTGCTTTTGATGTTGCTGACGTAAATTGGGGATGCATTTAGTACTAATTCCAGATAAATTTTACAGATACCCTAGCGTGCTTCATTTGACTAATGATGAAATCCGAGTTAGTGACCTAGAACATTTTGACTGTATTTTTTTAATTGCTTAATGGTTTGTGTAAATAGCTTAATAGTGTTGATGTATGGTAATATGAATTTTATATTTTTAAAATAAATGATATCTGGAATAGAATCAGACAGTATGAATGGATTCATGTTTTCCCGTAGCAAGGGCTCTTTGTTAGTTTGGGGCATTGTTTTGTTTGTTTTTTTTCCTAATGCAGTTGTAAAAAGTTTTATATTAATCTAATCTTTTCTGTGGTAGAGGGAAAAGGAGCAGTTCCGCAAGCTGTTCATTGGTGGCTTAAGCTTTGAAACAACAGAGGAAAGCTT